AAATATTAACATTATTAGTTCTTCTAATAAATGATTAATTATTTTAAAATTCTAAGATACATGGCGAATGCTCAGAAGAAAGCTTAAATGTATATATCAAAGTAGTTAACATTTACAGCATTTAGATTTAGAAACTATCGAACTAGAAATACTCATAGTATCGAGAGTAATTGACCTCACAAGGAACGAAGACTTATTTACAAAATTATTATCTTTTGGAACGAAACAAATTTTATCAAAGCACTCGTTCCGTAATAATGAATTTCCAAACCAAATTGGCGCAATGTTGGATGAATTCGTAAGCTCATATAGAAAACTAAGAACTGATTTCGATCCAGCTTTAATACGACCTATAATTTTTCCCCAAGGAGAGATGATTCTCGAAACTAGACGCATTTTAATGACAACTTTTGACCTATTAGAAGGATTGTAAGTTAATACAAAATCACAAGAATTTTCATATCATTGATAACCTACTGAATTTTAGGCGTCATATTTGGAGCTGTAGATCATTGTTAACAGAAGATGATTATAGTGAGAATGCTTATGTAATTCATGCGGTATCAAAAGTACTGGTTCCGTTTTTTACATATTCTAAATGACCTCTAAAACGTGCTTGGTCTGAGCAGATAAGCAAATATTCACAGAGTAGAAAAAATCGGATGGGTTCTACTAATTTAGGAAAAAAACCAGGATCTACAGATTTTATTGAAATTAGATATGAAGGAAAACGAGTTAGTTCTAGTGGAGATTTCACGTTCATTTCCAGAACAGGATAAAGAAGGTTTGGATTCGAAAAAGCTGGTTCGTATTTGTAAAGATTGTTTCGATGAACGATATAACATTTTTTTCAAAAAGAGAGAAGATACTTCTTCCAAATCAAAATTAATACATTGTGAATTAGGAAAAATTCCCGTGCTAGGATCCAAGTGATATGTGCGCTCAACTATGTTTGAGTTTATTATAATTTGTAACGTCCCAATAGGTTCTGTATATAGGTTTACCCGTTTTAAAAAAACTCTAACAAGAAAATTTCTCAAAATTTCATCAAGTGAGCATAGTTTCTAAGTTAAAATTATTCCTTGTGACAAGTTACGTATATATGTGGGTATCAACTCAAAATTATGATTTTTGACGTTGTCCCCTTTTCTATTGTCCATGCCCCAAATAGGTGAATTTGCTCGGTAGTCAATTCGGAAATAGAATTTGCACTATATGCTTTAAGGTATTTAATTTTATCTATGGCTTTTTGAATCTTTTCACATAAAGTTTTACGTGAAATTTCTGGGAGTTGTATTCCCATTTTCTTGAGCCTTTTCTCACGGATAATAATGAGCTGCTCTAATAATTTATTATAAATTATACCTTTAGCTTTTTTCTCGTCAATTTTTCCATTACTATTTTTCACAAGATCATTATACTGAATTATAAATTCTTTTCCGTAATTAATCCAGCATAAAGTTTCACCTTGATTAGCTTTTATAGCATAATATTCGGCATCAGTTGTTTTAACAAATAATTGTGTTAATTCGAGTAATGGGGTTGTAGAAGAATTTGATGATGTATCCGTTGCTAAAATTTTGGTTACATTATTTGAGAAAGAAAAACTTTGAATCTCTAATTCATCTGAAAGAATGTTATTCTGAATGCCATTTACTATCACTTTAGCGATATTCTCTGTCCCCTTTTTCTTGTATGACTTGTCCTGATTTTTATTTTGATTTTAAGCTTTTTTTCTCGATTTCTTTCTTTTATTTCGTTTCTAACATTTTCTTTCCAGAAATTCGATCACTTTATCTTCAAAAGATTTAGTTTCTGAAAAGTGTTATCAGATACATTAGAATTTGGAGCATTATTGAGATCACCAGAATTTGAAACGTTATTTGATTTACTAGATGCTGGGACATCCTCACTTCGTAAGATTATCTGTTCGGGAATATTATTAGAATTTACTGGATACTGCGAAACACTAGTAAAAATTTTTTCTTTATCTTTCTGTTCTAGGTTCGTGATTCGGGTTTCATGTTCTTCTAAAGCTTGCTTCAACTTCATATCACCAGCTTTAATCTCAATATTTTCGGCCTTAACTTTCACATTCTCAGCTTTAAGTTTGATATTCTCAGCCTCAACCTCAGCAAACTTATATCTAAGTTTATCGATTTCGGATACCTAGAATTTAATTCTTTCAATGTATCAATTGTAGATTGTGTACCTACCATACTCAACCAGAATATAGTTATTTTATCTAGTTTATGTATTAATAATAATTTTCATCAGGAAAAAAATTTTCGACGACGGCCCATCCGTCAAAAATTCTCAAAAATACATATGCAAAAGTAAACACGATTATATATGTATATATATATATATATATAATATAATGACTACCAGGGTCAGATTTATTTATGCAGTAAAGGATGAATTTAAATATCTTATAATTTCTTGATGGAGAATACGTTGTTGATATCATTGGATATGATTGGGGTTCGTTCCTCATAAACTGGTAGAAGATTTATCTCATCTTTTTACTTACCGACATTCCAACAATTTTTTCAATTAGTGCTCTCAGATCTAGTACTTCTTAAAAAATCTTCAATAACTTGGCGCGAGGAAATTCGTAAAGGTATAGTAATCTCACTTATTCGATAAACCCGGTAAAAAGCTCCTTCAAATAAATCTAACACAGAAACAAATATGCGCTCTCCTATCACTTGGATCCTAGCACGGGAATTTTTCCTAATTCACAATGTATTAATTTTGATTTGGAAGAAGTATCTTCTCTCTTTTTGAAAAAAATGTTATATCGTTCATCGAAACAATCTTTACAAATACGAACCAGCTTTTTCGAATCCAAACCTTCTTTATCCTGTTCTGGAAATGAACGTGAAATCTCCACTAGAACTAACTCGTTTTCCTTCATATCTAATTTCAATAAAATCTGTAGATCCTGGTTTTTTTCCTAAATTAGTAGAACCCATCCGATTTTTTCTACTCTGTGAATATTTGCTTATCTGCTCAGACCAAGCACGTTTTAGAGGTCATTTAGAATATGTAAAAAACGGAACCAGTACTTTTGATACCGCATGAATTACATAAGCATTCTCACTATAATCATCTTCTGTTAACAATGATCTACAGCTCCAAATATGACGCCTAAAATTCAGTAGGTTATCAATGATATGAAAATTCTTGTGATTTTGTATTAACTTACAATCCTTCTAATAGGTCAAAAGTTGTCATTAAAATGCGTCTAGTTTCGAGAATCATCTCTCCTTGGGGAAAAATTATAGGTCGTATTAAAGCTGGATCGAAATCAGTTCTTAGTTTTCTATATGAGCTTACGAATTCATCCAACATTGCGCCAATTTGGTTTGGAAATTCATTATTACGGAACGAGTGCTTTGATAAAATTTGTTTCGTTCCAAAAGATAATAATTTTGTAAATAAGTCTTCGTTCCTTGTGAGGTCAATTACTCTCGATACTATGAGTATTTCTAGTTCGATAGTTTCTAAATCTAAATGCTGTAAATGTTAACTACTTTGATATATACATTTAAGCTTTCTTCTGAGCATTCGCCATGTATCTTAGAATTTTAAAATAATTAATCATTTATTAGAAGAACTAATAATGTTAATATTTAAACAGTAATTCTATCTATTATAATAGTTGCTTATGCATCCATCCAATATAAAATTAATATTATTTTTAATTATATTTATATTTTGTTCTGGTTCTTTTGATTGGCGCTAAAATAAAATATTTCGGTTATTTTCTCACTTATACAATAAGGTTAATCACAGATTAATAAAAATTTCGTTAAAATAAATTTGCGGATCTTTGCTTTTTCTCCTCCACAAGCATCGGAAAAAAATAATTTAGTATACTACAGTCGAACCTCGATATACCGAACCACCATAAACCGATTTTCGCTTTATGATGATGCAAAAATGTTTAACCAAATCATATTTAATAAAAATTATTTCGTTAAGCCGAATTTTATTATAATTTCTACTTTACTTGATAAGCCAAACTTAATAGTTTGTACAAAATAACTTTCTAAGCCGAATATGATCATAAATTGGTTTTAAAATTCGTCTTATAACGATAAAATTCGGTTTAAAAATTGTCGATCACCCAACAATTCTACTTTCTATCTTTAACCATGTCAAGTTCTAATAAAAAATGCGAGGATATTATTGCATTAATTCAACCAACAGAAATAGAAATAGACGAGCAACAGGATGAAACCTTTATTCCAAAAATTTCTATTATAGATACCATAATTGGTGTTGAAAATTTATTAAATTTTTTAGTATATCCTCCAAGTGATTTTGATGTATGCGAAGATGAATTAAAATGTATTCGTACTCTTAGAAAAAAATTGTTAAGTCATAAGGTTAATAGTTCTGTGCAACAATCTTTAGATAAATATTTTTGTTTAGAATAATTTTGTAAAATTTATATTTTATAACGTTGTAAGCCGAATTTATTTTGAACAATTAATAAAAATCGTTTTGTGTCCAGGGCTGGCTGCGGAACTCAAATGAGCATTTTGCTAAACTGACTAAACTGTTTAGCCATATGTTAAGTCAAGTTTGGTCAAGATGATTATTACTAAATTAGGTTTTTAACCCTTTACGCTACCCTGTTTGTATCATAAACCGAATTTTGATAAGCCGGTTTTATTTTTGTGATTCACAAAAAGTTCGGCTTATCTAGGTTTGACTGTAATCTGGAAGTAATCTATTCTTATTATATAATTTGAAAATCGGTTGATATTGAGTTTGTTCATATTTTATTTTATTTTTTAATGAGATTCATGCCCACGGATGACGACAAGATACTTGATGGCATTGCCCGTATCATACCTAGTATAAGATAAACCCATACCGGACGACAAATCCCCTGACTGCATCCTTCGATGCTTACAGTGCCAGCATTCTGTAAGCTAAGACATACGCTTAAAATTTGGTTTGTGCACACCGGGTACAGACAACAACAGAGGCCTATGTTGTTTTTCCGCTATTCTTCTTTTTGCAATATGTCACCATTTTTTTAGGAAATATATTTTAATTAATTTTTACTACATACCTTAGATATAGCGTCAAATTGAAATAAAAAAATATCCTTTAGCTTACGTTTATTTCTTGAACTATTTCTATTACATAACTTTATACCTTCTTCAAATTCTCGACAATATTGAGTTTCTGCTATATTAAAGTTAGCCTTCCTTAAAACTTCGATACTAGGTAAATATACACTTGGAAGCCATTCTTTAAAGTACAAATCCTGGTTTGGTTGATGACGGTTACGGTAAAAGTAATTTTCGATATTATCAGACATTTTTTAGGTAAAAAATTGAACAAGTAAAAAAAATGATATTTAGAAATTGCAGAAAAGTGTTGTTAAATCACGAGAAACGAAAATAATAAACCACCAAAAGCGACAAGTAACAATAACCTCGCTATACTGCCTTTAAACGGTTATGCATTTTCTCTTTCTGGCATACCGAAAAACAGATTTGGAAAATAGCGATACAATGAATATATATGGATGTGCCACACCGGGGTAATTATCCAAATTTGAAACAAAGTTTCATTGCTCTGCAGTAGCGGGCGGTCACACAATCAATTTTGCATGTAGAATTTCTTCTAGTGCTCATAATAACTTATTTTTTTCTGTTACGTATTTATCTCCACATAAATAATTTACCATATTAATATTAATTAATGTTTCAAATTTTACCTGTTTTTTATATATTAGTATTAGTATATATTGTAAGGATAATTATCCCATTGAAATTTTTGATCATATATGCCAATATGGATTTTCAGATTAAGTCCTACAGTTATGAATTTTTTCGTCAATAAATCAAAAATACAAATTTCCGCCTGCTAATAAAATTACTCCCACAATATAATTATTTCCCACATATTATTCATTCTTTTTTCACATACATCAAAATATATTGATATTATATTGACAATGTTTTGGGCCATACTTCATACATTATTATCCTTTGGTTTGGATAGATAACTCGTTCAAATATTTACATGAAAGATAAATTCGGACTTGGTTTAAGAGAAAACTTATCTGCACATGAGAAAAGATTGACGATTTTTCTCCATGTATGGTTTTACTTCTGTTACTCTTATATTCTGGTACATAATTCGTGTATATAACTTCGGCAAAACTAATATACCACGCTTCTTACAAAGTTACGATCAGGACTACCATAATCAAAAATTAAATCTTCCAATCGTACTCATATTTACACATACTATAATTAGAAACGTATATATTGCCTTTAGTTATTCTTCAAGATATTTATAACCATTTTGTATTTACAGACAGCTTTACAGTAAATAAGATAAAGTATAACAATATCGGCGTAATGCTATAAACCGACTATTTACCTACAACCATCATGATAAACATTAATGTCTGTTTATTACAGACCAAAAAAATTAACTTATTAATTCATAACAAATTCATTAAAAAAATTAATGAATGAGTTTATTGTGTAAAAAAAAAAAAAGGATCGGATTTAAAATCCTAATGAAGTGGTAAACAAAAAAAAACTATGAATGAATTGATTCTTGTTTTCAATGGTGTGTAACCCTCCCTTAGTGAATCTCATTAATTTATCCATACGATACGCTTAATTGTTTCTAATAGATTTAACAAATGAAAATCCTTCATAACTTAAAATGATTTTAACTATATATGATATTGGATATTTCGACGCCGATCTCTATATTTCTGTTGTGCGTGAAAATGAAATCTGTGAATTTGCAATTCACATATGTGAAATTCAATCAGAATTACATATCCAACACCCCACCCAAAATTTTAATTATAAATTTCGAGTCACATAATTTCAATTTCACATACAACATTTCTTATATCATTCTAAAACTATTTCTAGTTTTGTCATTAATCCACGACCAAAGATGAAAAGGGGAGGAATTTTGATATAAACAAACTGTAAATCAAAATAATAATAATAATAATAATAATAATAATAAATGTGTTTAATATTCATCAACATATTTTTTTCCTTACATAAAATTATGAAAAATTTCTAGATATATTGTAATATTATATATAATAGACTAACGATGAAAAGCACAAGAACTCATTATTTTTCCAAGATCAAATGTCCACCAAGTTTATTGACCTGACCAATATAGTATGTAAATGTGATCATTTGATTGGTTATGTACATTTCTTTGATATAGCGTAAGCCATACATTTTTATTAATATAATGTATGGATCAACATTTTTATACATCAAAGTCACATGCTACGCGTATTACCATCGTTGTATAAAGTGTCGTTTCAAGTGTTGTATCGATGAGATGATTGCGTGCTAACCCGAGAAAATGTGAAGATTTTATTATGAAAACAATTTTCACAGTATATCATTTTTATTAAATATGAGTATCATGTATATCACTATGATAAATAAAATACTCCAGATAAGCGCGAACCATCCATACATAACACTTATATAAATATGTCCGAATTTTTAACATCCATCATTAAATTCACTTTATTACGATTTCTAATCATAATACAATAAATTCCTAACAAATTTTTTTGAAAAAACATTACAACATCTTTCAAAAAAATTTTTAAACAATCTTTTTACAATCATGAAATTCTTAACAATCCTATCCGTTTTTTTGGCATTTATTGTCGTTATGACTCAAGCATTACCTAGTGACATCTCTAAAAGAAAATTAGGTAATAATATTGTAACACTCGGGGTGAGATTCGAAGGTCTATATGCAACAAAAGTGGCGCAATTGAAAGCTATCACTGAAAGTTATGACAAAGAATTCGCTGATTTTGAAAAAGAAGCACCAATTGCTGCTAAGAAGGATAATTTGACAGAAGTTCCAGAACCTCTTGTGATATGGTATAATCGTTATTCAGAAGTTGTGGATGCTGTAAAACATAGCACTAGCCAATTGGACGACAAAATCCAACATTTGAAAAAACTTTTGAAACAATAAACATATCAAATAAATATTTTACAATATTAAACACCTTGATTTATTTTATTTCATCTCATCTTTAACCACTACCTATTTTTTAATGAATAAATAAACAGATCAACTAGCATTTTAAATATCATACATAACATAATAAAAAATAATTTTTAATCCATTCATTTTTTTGTGTTCAACTGGTTTTTTTTTTTGTTAATTTTAACCAAAATTAACTCACATTCAATTCCATTCAATTCAATTCTACGTCTCAATCGTAAAGAAATGATTACTAAAATTAAAATTATAGGCAACATGAGAATTGAATTGTTTTATTTTCTATTATGAGACTTTTTTTCTAACAGCTAGTCTTCTCTTAGCAAGGTCGATGTTTGCTACTTTTAATTACAGAATTATTCTCTTAGTTTAACAAGTTTTTTTTTCAAAAGAAATATGCATATTTGCTAAGCATTAAATGAATTTGACCTTCCACGTAGGGTTCCTAACCATAATTCCTAACCCCTTATTCGAATATTCGTAAATCCAGAAATTCGAATACTCGTAATTATTATGGATACTCGTAATTATTATAATTATTTTAAACACTTTATTAATTTCAAATATTTCAAATACTTGTATTTGTAAATATTTAAATATTTAACAAATCAAAGATATACTTAAGAAAATGGTTGAACCATTTTTAAATTATGTTTCAGAAACACCATCTTTCCCGCTCGTTCAGGTTTTAGATTAGTCCTTTTAGCAGTAATAATATTTCCTACATTACTAAATAAACTCTCACAAGCAACATCTGTAGCTGAAATGCATAAAAATTTTTTTGCCAATTTTGTTAAAATAGGAAAATTATTTTGTTTTCACCAGAGTTGTGACCCGAAACAGAAACTAACTGAAACCACCTGAAACTAGTTTAGGTTAGTAGTTTATGCCTTGGTTTAGTTTTAGTTTTAGTTTTCTGCTTAGTGTAAGTTCATTTTCCGAACCGTTTCGGGAAGCCAAAAGAGTTTCTGTCACAACACTGGTTTTCACCCACCATTTAAAGGAGCAATATCATTCTTTACATTACTAGAAAGATAATGTGATATTTCATAATTACCAACCACACCATTATCATGTGAAAATAGAAACATTATTCAAATCATGCTCACGGTGATCCATTTCATTTTCAATATTATCAATAATAAAATTATTTGACTTTCATTAAATTCACTTTCATCTAATCTATCTTTTATAATCAAGCATCCTTCTTTTAGTTGATTTTAATATGTTCAATCCTTTCAGAATCAAAAAATGTAATGTGTTGATAAAGTTGCAATGCTACTTGAAACAGACCAATACTTTTTCAAATTTTCCAATAATTTTCTTACAATAAAATTGGTCTAGAATAGAGATGTGCCGCGCATAGTGTGCTACGCATAAGGTTTTAGGTATATTTTTTATAGACATTTACTTATTAATAAACATTTCTAAAAAAAAATTAAATATGCCATTTACTTTTTTATTATTATATGCGCATTTATGATATTTCTCTCCTATGATATATATACACTATGTGCACTATGCGCGAAAAAAAATCACGGTTACTATGAATGGCACATCTCTAGTCTAGACATACTTAAGTCTAGACATACTTAATTTTTTTTTGTAGAAACTGATACCACTATATTATCTGCAACATCTTCATCTGTAATATCAACAATACCAAATACATCATCTTGTTCTTCAGTTACAGTATTTTCATTACCTTCTAATTCTTCAATTAATGATTTGTCTGTACTTCTTTCTTTTAATAATAATTCATCTAAATTGTTTTTTAAAGTAGTTATAGATGGAAATAGTCACATATGAATTACCACTCATCATTCTAGTAAGCTCTTCAAAACTTTTCAAAATTAAAGTTAATTCATTCATTAATTGCCATTCATCATCTGATAACATCATACGTTCCAATCTTTTACCATCTTTTTTATTTTCTCAATTTTCATCCTTCCTGGTAAATGTTTAATTGCATCTTTTAATAGTATAAATCTCTGCCGTGAGTAGAATGAAGAATTCCGTCTTGTAGATACATCCTTTATTACACAATAAACTTTTGTATAATTCAGATTTATTTCAAATATTATATTTTTATAATGATAATAAATTTATCTCTATCAATGAATTCATACTAATCCCATGCATAATTATTTTCTTATTTTATATTTGTCTCTATTATTTTTATTATTTTTTATTTCTTTTCTTTTCTTTTAGTGAGGTAAATATTTAATAAATTTTATTTAGTAGTATTTGGATATGTGCCTGACTTGGTAGTGAAGAGGAAAACAGCTAGAATGGCACCCATTAAGAAATGTGATCAAGATATATAGTGCAAAATCTAAAGGTATTGTTTAGTATAAGGAATTGTTTGATGATAGTTTAAGAGTAAAGCATGAATATACAATTCACAGAAATTGTTGTTATGATTTAGTATAAATAAATAAATTGTATTAACATTGTTGACTTATTATTATAAATAAAATATTGAAATTTACTGAGATGCAGATTTTTATCCCACAATTTTTATTATTGTTATTTGTAATGTTTATAGATGATAAAAATGTTAAAACAGTATATATAAATGTGAATATAAAAATACTAATAAAATTATAAATAAAATAATACTAAGAAGCATGGTGTTAGGTCAGGTTAAATTACAAGGAGGATTTGCTTTAATTTGAAATAGATAGCATATAATCATTAAAAAATTTTTTTTGGTAATAATAAGAGGTGTTTGTTCACCATATAACACTTCCTTATAATAATGAAAAAACTAATGTGGAAATTTCAATAATCAGATGAATGAAATTTATACATAAAATCATCTGGTAAGTTAATTCAATTTGTTTGGAATCTGGCATAGTTAATTCAATTTATTTAGATTCTATAGTATTATTTAGAATATATAATTTAAAATGTCATAAATAATAAATAATTAAGATTAATATAAATATAACAATAAATTAGATAATTACCATTATTGTTACTAATAATTGTAACTTTATTGGAATTTACAGGTTGAGGGAGATTTGTAAAATTCAATAATCTACTTGTATAAACAGCATTTGGATGAACAATTGTTGTTATTGTTGAAGTATTAAAGGATTTTTTATTTGATTTCCTAAATTTTTTTTTAATTTATCAACCTGTTCTTCAGAATAACTAGAAATATTAGATTCAATTGCATCTTTCCAAAAAGTAATAATTTTTAAAATTTCATCTACTGTTGGTCTTTTTTCAGGATCTGCATCTGTGCATTTGTATGCTAACTTAATATATATATAACATTCTGGAGTATTATCTGAAAAGCTAGGCCTTAAGCCACCACAGATCTTGAAAGCAAGATCTACACCATGTGGTTGATCTTTGAATGGCTGTTGATGTGTTGATGTTTCTGACATTAAAATCCCAAAGCTATAGATATCAGATTTTTGTGTATAAGGTTTCTTATTTAATACCTCTGGTGCAATATATGGCAGTACTCCAACTATATCATTTTTAGTTGATGTTTCTTGATCAGCTGAGCCTGATAACCCTAAATCTGTAATCATTGCTCAGATAAATATTGAAAATATAAAATATTACCACTGTGAAAATCACTATGTATAAGTTTTTCTTGATGAAGTGTGTTTAAACATGAGATAATATTATAGTTTTTTAATTTTATCACTCCATCCTTTCTGTCTTGCATAATTTGATTTTAAATATTTTTTAAAATCTCCTTCAACTGTATAATCTCATTACAAGAACATATTCTTTTGTATTCAGATTAGTGTTCCATGTTGCAATCCAAAAAAGGAAACCAAAGTGGTTGCAACCAGGTGTTGCAAACCATTTTTATATGTCGCAAAAATGGTTGTAACCATCACCAAGAATTGCGACCAGCATCTATAATTCAGATCTTGTGAAATGCCATAAATATTAACAATAAGGGCACTGACATATATTAGCTAATATTTTAGGGGGTGGGGGATAACAGAAAATCTTAGGTCACACAATCTCATAAATAACGTGATCATAATGGCTTCAGTGAAAGATCAATTTGAATGTAAGTGTTTCAATTTGGGAATGATCTACATGCAAACCAATTATCATTTGCATTACTGTAACAATCTTTAATCTTGATTGATCGGTAAAATAATTCTAGTCGAAATTAGGCAATTAATCCATACCATATTTGGTAATGTAGAAAAATTCGTTTTGTTTAAA